TTCAGAATGTAACAGAAGCAGCACGTTCTTGGTTATGCTCACCAAACAATAAAATATGTGAATTATCTCAGTCCAAACCCCGAAACTCTTTAACATCAGTCCATATTTGTCGAAAGCTTTGTTACTTTCTCTCAACGAAGAGTTATATACATGTAACGCGATGCCGAACAGAAACAAAGCAACAACGTGAAAAACAAGTTGAAATATTATACAGAAGTGTTTATATTTTCTTTTAAAAACGTTGTTCAACATGACTAGTTTTTCAACACGTTTATACTGAGGAGCTTACGTTTAATCACATGTTTTTAGTTACTCCTTGCTAAGAAATGTTTAAACGGGCGCAACTTTATTATATTCTGTTATGTACACTTGTATATCGTTAATAAAAGTAAAAAAAATCGAATTAGCCGAAAAACGCTACAAATAAAACTCTAATTTTGTACGATAAAACGCTAGTTTAGCATATGACCCGGATTAGCGTATTAATCCAAAAACAATATTCACTCCGCTGTCAAAACAAAGAATTTTTGTTGCACTTTTAAAAAATTAACACAGTCCAATAAAGACACAACAGTTGAAGAAACATACATAAAAAAATTTAAATAAAAAAATAGGTTAAATTTTAACGTTTTTTTAAACAAACATTATATATAATTTTATTATATTTAACATTATATTTGATGTTTAAAAAATATATAATTTTTATACACATTTAAAGCTATCATCTGATTATAAAAAAATAAACCCGATTTACGGTTTTGAATTATTTTTTAAAGTAGTTATTTATGCACCGTATTATTTTTCTTAGATACAAAATGTACCTTGAAAATGTCTTGAGTTGAACAGAAATAATAATTGTATTGTGCTCAACTTGTAGCTGAAAATCATGCCGTTGGATGAACTTTCTGCTTTCCCGTATCTTGTTTTGTCTTGGGAATACAGGTAGAGGGGGGCGTCGGTGGTCGCAACAGTTTAGGCGTTGACACGGCGTTCATCATAAAGTTCCCGGGTTCGAATCCAGCGGCCCTGCATTATGATATACTTACAAATGGGCTTTTTTTCAAAAACACCGGCACCCTGAGGGTCTATATGACCTCTGCTGGTGCAAACCCTCGTAAAAAAAAGTACATGTAGACTTAATAAGGGAGTTTAATTTCTAATTTTGTTGCTCGTGATTAAAATAGTATATTAGTTTTTTTGAAATTTTATTTCCTATTCTAATATTAACTTTACATTACCAAGGAATTCCAAACTCCGGCAGACGGCTTTTTACCATGCTTAAAATTTATTGTAAATATATTGTAAACTCTTATTTATGTTTAATAAAGTGCATATTCTTCTTCTTATGTTAAAAGGAGTCGACCTCTTTACGAGCCCACCGCGACAAAATAGGTCTGTGGTGCTATCTCCATCTTGTCTAGACGTCTTCGTTAATCTTAAGGCTTTTTACTCGATCCGAAGACTTTGTTAAGTTACCTAAGTATCATTCAGGTTTTGGATGTTTCTCTAAGAGTAGGAATCTCAAGCCTGCGTCACATATGCCTCCGGAAGTCCTCTATCATTCTAGTCCTGACACGTTTGTAGTTCAACCGTTGCACACTTGATCTACTGTTCCGAGTCCTTATGCATCCGGCGTATACGGTACTCAATCATTGTCCTACTATAATTTTAGTCCTAACTTTAGTCGTTCTCCCTTAGTTTCTGCAATGACGCAATGACCTTTTCCGCATGCTTCTGTCCTTGAATACATTCCTACAACTCATTGTCTGATGGATCTAGTTTTTCTCAATTTGATATACCGCATAAGGGTTCAGGGATGCTAGCTCAATACAGCTCTGGGCTATTCTCTTGTTGGTAATATACTTTGTTCCCCCTCGTACAGAAAACAGTTCCACCTGAAATACAGTGGTGTATTAACCCAGGCTGATATCAGTTCTGGTCCTTGGTTTACTTCCATAGATACAAACTCCTGACCAATTCTGGGTATTGATAGTCTGATGGATCTACGTTTTGGGCCATTTGGTATGCTGCAAAAAGGTTCAGGACTGATAATAATCACGCTTTCCTTGTCTAATTTATAGGTTTCGTCGTTGTACCTCTGCATTTAAGAAACATTAATTTACCTTTTTATGCGGGTAGACTGTTGAAACCTGTCTCGCGTTAGTCTGTGAACTCTGGCTCTAACCTCTTCCCGGATTAAGGAGAAGTAGTGGCAGTAGTAGGAGATTAAGTAGTAGTGATAAATTCAGGAGAACATCCATGGAAACAGTGGAGGTCTAATACATAATCACTCTTTTCCCACTAATATAATTCTTTTGTCTAAATCTACAATACAGTGTGCCAGTTGCAGGTAATCAAAGAATTTTTTTTTCGTTGGTTGAGTTGTAGGTTGGGTTGAGTTTATCTAAACGAGAAAAGAGAATTCGGTTTGCTTTTACCATGATAATTTCAACAGAACAATAATCGACCTATTAATCTTTCACCTTTTGCCAATACTATTTATTGTAATTATTGAATTTCGTACTTTGCTCAGTCTAGTACTTTAATGTTTTCAATGTTCAAAATATGAAAAATCTATTGGTCATCATAGAAGGAGAGTGTTTTAAGCGTGGGTATTGTTTAACGAATAAATCTAGCGTGCAGCAGATGTCCGATCGGAAGGTCATTATTTATTTGGTTCGCGTAAACAATACCGGGAATACCGTAAACAATTCCGCGCGAGGTTGAAGAACGAGGGGAAAAGTGAAATCAAATAAAACCAAATGGCTACACAAAGCACGCGGACTTATTTTATTCTAAACATTGGTCTATTTTTTTTTTTTTTTTTTAATGTCAAGTTTAATCTATAAAGGGGGTCATAGCTATCTTAAAACATTTACTTATGCCGTCTCCTCACCGCGCGCGCAGAGCCGGACGGATCTCGACCCCAGAGAAGAGGAAGCACGTCCATCTTAAAACACATTTATGATCTTTTTTTTCGAATGTCTATGATAATGAGGCCTACAATTGAATTTCACTCATACTTAATGTGTTTTTGCTTGGTGATTTATGTTTTATTTGTAAATAATAACCATAAATTTTCTATTATGATATCGTTCCTCTATATTAAGATTGTTCTTTTTTTATTTATCTTTATCAAAGAAACTAATATTCAAAATTTAGGTTAGATAAGCTTCTTTTATAAGAACTATTAGCTAAATTTAATAGAAGAAATAAAACTTTATGGAATCGATCAAGGAACACTACTGGCTCCAATTTTATTCTTCACGCACATCAACGATTTGGCTAATCTATCGCTGACAGCAAAATATATTTATTTGCAGAAGACGTGGCCTTGATCTCAACTGCTGATTTGTGGCTGTAATAAATACATCTTAGCAAGATCTGGCTAAAATATCAAACTGGATGAGATACAACATATTACCTATGAACACCAACAAATCTCATTTATGTTAATCTAGCACTACATCAGTGTGAGCACCATTCACAACAATGTTGCCAGCCAATTAAAAAGAAGATGAGGTTAAATACTTTAGTATAATTATAGGCAATCCCATGAAATGGACATAAACTAAGTAAATGCGCTTACATAATAAAACAAATAAAAGGATTCCTAATTAAAACTTAAAAATTATTATATACAAACGTTTTATAATCCATAATGCAATTTGGAATTACTGCTTCGAGAGGGTATATATAGATATATTTATTTTTATATATTACAAAAAAGATTGCCGAAAATGAACAAAAAAATTTCAGATATAAATCAAAATTATTATGTTCGGAAATAGGAGTTTATAGCATATATTAAATCTATGTGAAAAACTTATATATATTACTTTATAAAGAAAAGGTAAAGTACTTCAGAATGAATATGTTACAAGAGAAATTGTACCGATAATAAAAAAAATATATATTAGCCAAATGTGTGGTGTTTAATGACCGTTACTTGATGATTATTTGGAAGTTGTGAGATGCGGTCTGGTGTGACGTAGGTTTTGGAAAACATTTTCTTTATTGAGCCAACGTTTCGATCTTTACTGAGATCATCTTCAGGGCTCAAAGTGCACTCTCAACACGACAGACAAGAATGAACATCTACACGGAAAGCAAACACTTTGAGCCCTGACGATGATCTCAATAAAGATCGAAACGTTGGCACGATAAAGAAAATGTTTTTCTAAAACTTTTGTCACACACCAAAATTCACCATATTTACAGAGAAACTATATTTTTAAATGAGCTTTTATTTAAAGGTAAGTTTCCAACCTATATGACATTTTGCAGAAAGTAAATTTAAGTATCTATAGAACAAGAATTAACAAAATTATAAGAGAAATAAATTTTAAACTGTTTAAATATGATTTAATTCATTTAACTTCTTAACTACGAATATACACAAGTACAGTTTATAAGAAACTTAAAGTATACAATAAATTAACAACTTAAAAATTTAAATTCATAGATAGTTTAGTATAATCTTTAATTTTTGTTAACAATACCACAAAAATCAATTAAAAATATTTGTACACATTATCCGCACAACCCTATGCAAGGAACTAGCATATGCTATTATTATTATGCATGGTCCAAATTAAAAATAAATAAACATGTAATTAATAGGAAAAGGGAAAACAATTTCCCTAGGTAGAAAATTGAACATCAAGGGAAGTCAGGAAAATCTAAAAGTGATTTACTTCTGTTGTAAAAAAACAAACAGAAGGGTGTTTTATTTGCGCAATGAAGATGCTAATAATTCAAGCAAGTTATTCTGCTTCGAATGCTCGCAATCCATCATGTGATTCCTCTCTTCTGGGGGTTGTTATCTTACCTAATATTTATTCGGCTCCTGTATCAGCCTAGAAGATTATTCAATTAAATACGTTACAAGTCATTTCATTTACCTCCTTGCACACACAACGTTAAGAGTGTTAAATATGTTTAATTTTCATGCTGTAAGTTTTTTTTTTTGTTAACATAATTTCGTTTTCCAATTACAGGCAGGAGGTGGCCGTTTTACGAGAAAGGTGTCGAGGCGTAAGAAACGCCGGGACAAGAACTAAATGGCTGGAAGCCTCGTTGAGCGAAGCGAGAGGCCAAGTCTCAGAGTTGGGGGCTGCGATAGACAGAGCGGAAACTACAATTAACACGCTTCGCACTCAGGTTGCTTCCAACACCCGAGCTATAAGCAAGGTACATATAATTTTTATTAAAGCAGTCACGTAGATATTCAATGCCGGTTTCATACCGATTGCCTGTTTACAATCTAAACGAATATCTGTCAATGATGACCATCAAACACTTCAACATAATTACAGCCACTCTCAGCTGAACAACAATCGGTTGAAGTGTACAAAACAATGTTACAACTGAAAAGCTTGCACTTGCCAAACTTTGTGGGATTGACAGTTAATCAAATCAAATGGATTGTTTAATCAGATTAATCTGAAATTAAATCCAAAATTTAAACGTTCAGAAAGAACATAGAATAAATAAATCAGCAACAAATTACATATTCAATTCATTGATTGTCAAGTATATCACATTTAATTTCAATAAATCTCATAATCTCTTTTAGTTAGAAGCATTTTTTTAATATAAATTTTTAATATTCAAGATTTTTTTTTTTTGTATAAAGTTTTTCAGTTTTGTATAAAGTATTTTGTATTTGACGTTTGGCAGTGGGGTTGGTCGTTATTAAAGAATGAAAAAATGCGATTTTGTTCCGAGATTTGTATGTATTCAAAATAACCTAGGTTTAATTGTTTAATTATTTTGAGTGCTTGTTTGTTGGTTTTTCCTGTTATTAGTAAGAGATGGATATAGACAGATAGATATAGAGAGGGAGAACGGGTGTGTGAGTGTGTGTAAATGTAAAAAGATCGCGGTGCCGTAGTGTTTAAGGCGTCTTTTTCTTCGCTGTCAAGCTTGCGGTTCGGGTTCGATCCCCGTCATTGCCCATGGTATTTTATATGAGATCAATTTGAAAAAAAGTGAAAAATGGTTTTCACCCATCGTCCGTGATATCCATCCGGTGATGATCGTTAGCCCTCCTGTATGTTAGGATTATTATCAGTTTCCATGCATGTTTTTTGTTTGTCTTTAATGATTAAAGACATGAAAATGTGAGTGGCGACCGCGGTATCTAGTTATAGGGGCGTCCGACTTGTTCTGTGTTCGAACCCCGTCATAGCCCATGGAATTCTAATTCGTCCGCAACACCCAACGGGTTTGTTAAACGTTAAGCCACTCAACATATAAGACAGGGCTTAACATTTCTCCCTCTTTTACTTTGTTTTATCTGTGGCTATGATGTACGGTTTTTTATGTTTAAATTATTTTTATTTTTAAAATTAATTGCCTGTGTGTGGGATAGAGACAGAGGGAGAGAAAAAAAGAAACAGAGTGAGAGTGAGAGAGAATATTTTGTCCCTAATGTTTATTTACTACTGTGTGTATATTGTATACGTTCATAAAAATGTGTGTGAGAGAGAAAAAGCGAATGAGTAAGTGAGATGACGAAAGAGAGAATATTTGTGTTGGTTTTAACTGTCTAGTTTTACTTACATGTGTTATGTTTGTTTTGCGTTTATTGGTTTTTCCTGCTGAGGGAAAAATAAACTTTGTGTAAGTGAGACAGAAAAAGAAAGAGAGGGAGAGTGAATTTTATTTATTTTTGTGTCTGTGATAGTTGAATGAATATGGGCGTGAGTAGCTCTTGGCAGTATGCATATGACGTCTTGTATTTTCAACCCTACAACATATATTACAACGTCTACCGAGCGAACATAATACTCAACTCATTAACCTCCGCAAATGATAAATATATAAGCCATTTCGGAATGTTAAGTAAGATCGATATTAGTGCTATGGGAACTACACAGCTGTGTTGATCCATTAGAAACTGATGAATAATAATCAGAGAAGGCGTATTGAACTAGAAACTGAACCTTGATTTATTAATTGATATCTAACTTATAATAGACTAGAAAAGGCTGATATGAAACATGGAAATATTTAATTCGGAAATGTAAAATTATTTATCTTCACATAGTAAGTTATCGTCATCAGTACATTTAAAACTGATGTTTTTTGTCTTCTGAATATAAACTAGTGTGGGATCCGCGGTAGTTGGCCTTAAAGATAAAAGGTAATCGTAAAGCTGACTCTCTTCTAAAGGATCAAAAGGGTTCGCCCAAATGAGACTTTCCAAACTAATTCCTCCATCCTTCACAAAGTCCTTTCCATATATTTGTCTCGTATAACTTTCATACAAAGTCTAAGAACTGTAAGGTACATTGCACATTCCCACGCTCCGTTAGCCCGATATCGCGCAAGTGAATCCGATTGAATTCGCACATAAGACACCTTTATGACGCCACCCGCAATGTTCATGTAACAACGGGGGTGCACATAAAACAAGAGGCTCAATGCTTCAGAACCGGGCCCCTTTCATAAAAGGGAATAGTAAGTTTCTATACGGAAATCTATGGAAGTTTGTAAATAAATCTAAAATGTTTTGCTAACTAACTTTAGACCTTTTATTCGAAAAGGGTTTTTAATAAATAATTCATCGCCTGCTTTAGGGTAAAGTGCCTTACTTTATCATTAACAGTTTCTCACAAGCGGTAAGACCGACAAAAATCTTAATACACATTATTAGTCTTTGTTAAAAGTTTGATAACACATGACCGAAATTGATTATATCACTTTAACTGATCATTGTTTTAATTTTAAGCAAGTAAGATATTTTATGAACATTGATTAATGAACAAAAATATGACAGACCAAATCTGCGATTAGATAAATAGGAAATATAAAACGAAAACTACCCATCTACATTTCAAAATGATTAAAAGCTTTCATCTTTTCAGATTTATTTAATTGCAAGACATATTTATTGAAAACATGTCTAAAATTTCAGTCTAAAATGAATAATAACAATTTTATTGACTTTTTATTCATATATATATANCTATAAATTAACTCTTTTTAACTTCAAATTACGACTTTTAACTTCAAATAAGCCTTTTTAATTTAAAATTAACTTTTTTAACTTCAAATTATCTCGAATTTACACTTTTTAACTTCAAATTAACCTTTTTTTGTAATTTGTAAATCTGAGCTTACGGCGGTGCGCTGGCCGAGTACCAGAAAGCTGTCATGTGCATCTTTACTCGAACCAATTCACCCGGTTTTTCTCACCCTCAAATATCTGCTTCTTCTTAAGACAGTCTTTCAAAATTTGAAACATAACTTAAGAATCGCTTAAGAAATTGTAAAAAATAAGGTACTTCCCTAACGTGAAATTCGGTAGCAAGTCAGGTTTTAAATAGTACGCAAAAGAAAAAATCTGAAAATGTATGAAAGTGCCGCTTTGGGGGCCTACCATCAAAATTATAATGTATTTTTTTAAATTCATAAACTGTAAGAACTCAAAAGAAAAGTTAAAAGTTCCAGACACCCTTACAAAAAAGTCAGCCTATAAAAGCAGTAATATGTACATTGTGGTTAACCTCACTTCACTCCACATTAATGAACAACACTGTTATTTTATTTTTATTGTTTAGCACTTAGCCAGTTTCTGAATGAGGATTAAAACATCAGGAGAGAGCTCACAAAGGAGAGATGGGTGAAGGGAAGGTAAAAAACAAAGAAGAAAATAAAAAAGTTCCAGACTACTCATTGCTCATTCAGAAATTTGCCAGGTATTAAGCAATAAAAATAAAAGAACAGTGCTGTTCATAAAAGTAGGAAGTATGTGCTCAGGGTGCTTAACATTCCCAGAACAACTGTCCGAAGGGTCGTCCATCACTACCGAGATACTGAAGGTTACTGAAGAAGGCATAGGTCAGGTGTTTATATGATGTTTTAGTGAAGAGCAAGTTTATCTTTTTGCGCGAATTAATAATAAAAGAATAGTTTGTTTTTATTAGTTTTTTCATTTTTAATTTTAATTACTTTTCATATGGCTCTAAACTTCTTTTGCTTTAAACAAGAGTTAATTTAGAAATTTTAAAAAAAAATTATTAAATTCAACTTTTTTATCTCAACTGAAAATCTTAATTAATTTTTTAAAAAAAGTTAATTTGAAATTAAAAAGTTTATTGTTGAAATTGAAAATGGTAAATTTGAAGATAAAATAATTTGGGGCGCGTGCACACACACAAACACACAGAGACATACACACATTACAGCACGTCAATTGCAATTCGGGTATATAATAGATGTTAATTTAATAATTTTTAATGCATATTATGCATTTGTATATTGAAATGGATTATTTTTAAAAATCCACGAGCAGGATGGAGGTTCGTCTATGAATGTGTGATGCGCGACTTAAAGGATTAACGATGATTATTTTTGTTATGACAGGATCTGGCGGCCTAATCCGACGGGATATTTTTTTATGATTCGTTATTATTTTTGGGGCACGGAATGGCAAATTACATTTATAACATTTTGAACCGTGGACTCACTTATATTTTATATATTTTATTCAATCGACCTTTGCGCGTCACGTAATTCAAACAGTCCGGCATTAACCCTTAAAAAAATATTGCGATTTCATGGGCTAAAAAATTTCTTCTTTCCTTTCTTTTGCAATGTCTTATTCATAGCATAATTGTTTTTAAATGAGAATAGCGTATGATTAAATAATTTTGACTGTCATTATCACTTTACTATTTAGTGATGTCAATAATTGTTTTTTACTAATCTTACGCTAAAATTAGGATGTCTGATAGGAAGCATCAATCTTTTAAGTGCTTAATAAATTTGTTAAAGTGCGTCCTCTCTGTTAACCCGAGTTTTGTAATAAACCAACTATGCACACTTGAGGAACACATTTGAAATTAATTTTGTTTAGTTTTAGAGGAGGAGCAATAATTTCACCCCACCGGCAACTTGGCCAATGCTTCAATTCATAAGTTGGAAGGGTGGAGAAAGCCGGTTAAACGCACATATGAAACGAGGATTTATATCGGGATGGAACAGTCGGTTGAGACCATTGAATGAAAACCAGCTTAAAAACGTGATTCCGGCCAATTCAATTTCCCCTTTGCCGTTCTGTCAGTGATGATTGATGAAACTGGTCGGAGTTCGGGATCTAACATGTTTCCAATTGGTGTCGTTATTAGACACGTTTGTCATAAAAACAAATCAGCTGAGACACCGCCGTGTTCCAACTCTAA